AGCTTCTTTCTTAGGCGCTTGATCTTCAACTCCGCAAAATTCCTTCGCTTTTTCTTAAGGGTTTCTGGCACAGCAGGAACCTTTTTCTTGGTGGCTTCCGCGACAGCAGGAACCTTCTGCTGCGGCAGAAACCTTCTTCTCTTGAACACCCTCCGTGGTTCCAGCCGGAAAAGAGCTGCCCGGTGTGTTTCTGAAGCCGCTAGGTCGGGGACTTGAAGTGCACAGTCAGCCAGGTGGGACGTAGCATCCTAACTGCCAGGCCACAGGCTGGCCTTGTCTCCCCTTAACGACCGGTCTGCTCTGTCATGACCCTACCGCCCCAGCCTCCTGGTGGGGAGTGCAGCTGCACACCACCACCCATGCCTGGCCTTGAGGCTGGGCATGAACTCGAACCTGGGCTTCCCACATGGTCCCCGCCTGTGGTGCCACCGCAGCCTGGCTGCACTGCTGTTCTGAGGTTTCCTATTTACCCCGTTCTGAGGGCGGTGGCTGGAGCACGCATCGATTGGCTGCAGCTGTCAGCCCCAGAACAGGAGGAAAGGTGGCCTTGCAGACATTCCCACGTAAGCTTTGAAACTGCACTGGGTGCCTGTTCTGGTTGTTTTACACAAACACACACACACTCGGCTCCTCCCCTTCCTCCGTTCTTGGGGAGCCCTCTGCCATGCTGCTAGGTCTGCCAGCCCTTGAGACCATCGGGCCCTGGCTAGCAGGCAGGGCTCCTGTCTTCCCGTGTCCCTGTTTTCTTTTTCTCAAGCTCTGGCAGGTGTATTAAGCCACATCGTCCTCTGAAATCTCCCAGTAGTCACGTTGAAAAGTAAGAAAGGAAATTAATCTCAGTTATTTGTATACGCGGGGACTTCAGAAAGTTTGTGGAAAGATGGAATTACAGTATGAGTTTATTTTGGTGCAAAAAATTTTGAAGTCCATGGGTAGTTTTTTTTTTTTAAAGAATTATTTTATTTAGTTTTATTTACTTATTTATATTTTATTTGACCTGAGAGAGAAAGAGAGAAGGAAGGAAAGTGTGAAAGCGAGCCACCAGGTCTGGGACTCGAACTGTGGTCGGCCATGTGAGAGTCCAGTGCCTTAACCACCACACCACCTGCTGGCCCCCATGGATAATTTTTTTCTGATAACTCACACTTTACATGAGCTTTTGGAAGACCCCCTCATAATCCAATATACCTAAAATAGTATCCTTTCAACATGTAATTGATATGAAGATTACCAATGAGATGGTTTACTGTTTTGGTTTTTGTGGCATGTGCATGAGATGGAGAGAGGAAGAGACAGAAAGGGGGAAGTGAGAAGTCCCCAAGGCAGATGGCTGGGCTGCATCCCTCTTCCTCTCCCCTCCAGGGTCCTGGGCACACATGCACACGCACCGGGTGTGGTTTTCAGGCTGCCAGGTCCAGAGCTCGAAGTACGGCCAGCC